TTGAACTTCCCACGCTCCTGTTGGGGGCTAAGAACATGCTTATCTCCCTGAGCATGGTCTTCATAAGTCCATTCCATCACACTGGCCTATTTAACCATTACACCAAATTAGCGTATATTTTCCCTAACTTAGTGGCCTCTAAACATGTTTAGCCTTAATTCTTAGAATCGCTAAGTCTCACTGTTCTCCCTAGGGCTCATAGTTGAAATCTAGCCCATCTGGAAGATCACATGATTAGGAAAGCTGTCTTAAAAGCACGCGGGTTGAAGCCTCCAGGAGCATACAAGCTTTAGTAACCAGCTCCTTTGTAGCTCGTTTTTTTATCTGTAGCTCTTCATTTTTAGATTTTTTTCTAAATCAAAACTCCTGTGGACTTTAGTGTTCATTAGCATCTTCCATTCTCTTTCTTGCTTACTTGATTTCCAATCTCCTGATCAGTGTCCAAGGTGAATAACTTACATTGGCCGAACAATGAAACATTTGTCTTTTTTAAAGATATGATTGTTATTTGAAATTTGGATTCCTAGTTCGGTGTTTTCCAGATACTGAGATGGGCTGATAGAATTGTTATAGGGTTTTAAAGGAGGTTTCCTCTGTCGGTGTGTTGAAGAATGTAAAGAGAGGTCTCTGTTGATATATCTTTATAGGCCAAGTGGTGCAGTAACCAAATTGCAAAGGTTTAAAGAGAATAGTTTTCATGACTAATGTTGAAATCAGTGCAATCTCTTTATCAGGCTTGATGAGGTTTACAAAACACCCACGCAACCTTTTGCATTTCCAAGAACTTTTTGTCAGACAAGATAAGTAAAAATAAAATTTAAAAAGTGTAGGAAAAATACAGGGTGGGGGAATAGTTTGCTGGATTTTTCACCATCTTGCCTGATGGAAAGTACTTGAAAGCTTGAAAATGTATACATTGTTTTGTTAACCTGATTAAGATGCTGTGTCAAAACCATTTCAGATTTTTAGGATTGCTTTTTTATTTTTTTTTTTAAAAAAACTCAGCAAACCTTGGACTGATTTGAACTTGCAAAATAGAGTCAGGACAAATTTGATGGCCGGGGAAATGAGAAAGAATATGAAATGTCTAGATTTGGTCAAATTGTACTAGCTCTGGTCAGAGAGATTGTCCTGTCCTTTTCTTCCTTGCTAGTTCTCATTCAGTTTGAAGAAAGAGAATTGGCTTTAGATATTCCTTTGAAAGGAAGAACATGATGTTTTGGAGTTTACTTCGTGACAAGGAGGGTAAGGGAGGTTGTGTGAACATCCTGCATTTCATGATACAGTCCTCGGTCCAGTTGTTGTTCCCTATGCTTCCATTAAATCCCAAGGGAAAGCTTCATGTGAAAACTTCACTTTGGGATTTGCAACTGGGGAAGGGCGAGCAACCAAGAAAGCTTCAGAGCAATGAAAAGATGTGGGGCGGGGTGTGTGTGGAAACAGCGATAGCCTGGTCTATGCCTCTTCCAGCAGCAAAGTGAGCTGAAATCCCTACCGAGAGGAATCTGAAAGCAATTCTCAAGCCACCCGAGAATAAAGCAGAAAAACAGAAACCTATTTGGCAGGGAAAGAAAGCCACTGAGACGATCCAAAGCAGATTTTAGTACAGCTTTTGCTTTCATCTGCTGGGCTTTGTCAGCTCATGGCAGGCTTCTGCCTTTCAGTTTCCTGATGCCGAGTGATTCTCTTTTGGAAATTAACGGGTTGCAATCAACGTCGAGGAGAGGGATTTTAAAACCCAAAAGGCCCCCGTTGTATCGGTCAAACATTTGTTCTTCCCCACCAATCGTGTTGGAGAATACGCTGTATGCCAGAACCTCCTTTTTTCCTCCCGCCTTTCATTTCAGCCTCCCTACTCCTGGCAGGAATAAGACCTCCTTTTATTTCCAAGACACACTGAACAGTAACGCAAAGCACTGACCATGCTGGAGCCATGCCCCGTTTTCCTGAGCCTCAGCAGACCTGATAGCTCAGGAGCCTTTCCAGAGACTGAGTTCTCAGCCCAGGAGCGTTTAGCGCATTAGTCAGGAAGTCATATGGCACTAGCTGGCCAGGCCACATTTTGTGAGTATTCCCCTGCCGCAAAACGACAGGAGGGCGTCCGAGGAAGTAGGAAAAGGGAGCTATTCTCAGTGTTTGTAGGAGGTTTTTCTTTTTCTTTTTTTTTAGAGTGGGGAGGGAGACCTGATTTGCTTTTTTAAGAAGTGGCGGAATTATATTCTTGCTCAGTCTTTGTCAGTTGGGCAAACAGGAGGTTGGAGCTGCGGTGGGCATGCCAGAGATTTTAAATAGAGCAGGTTTTGTATGTAAGGGGCCAACGCTCTTGCCAACCGTTGGCCATCTGCCTTTCATTGAGGGCTAGGGCTAGGGAGGAGGAGGAGGAGGAGGAGGAGAGATTTTTTGGGGTTGTGTAGTTCATCTTTCACATGAACTTGTTTCCCCTTATTTATTTATTATTTCGATTTATACAGCCACCCTTCTCAAACATATGACTCTGGGCACAATTGAAAAACCACCGAAGAACAAAGGGCCATCTTAAAACATAGAAAAAGCATAAAAAACCATAGAAAAAGGTAAATAACAAAATCCACAGTTTAGGGCTAAAAAGCTATCTGCACTCAACGCAGCCACTGGGTAGGGTCTTCTACACATGCAGCCCGGTGGCGCCTTAGCCAACTTATTTAATTCTTTTCTTACCGGTGGGAGAAAACAGAGGGCAGAAGCAAAATTAAATCACTCTTCCTAAGGAGACTGGAGGAAATGGGATGTTTTCCATTGCCAGTGTTTTGTTCGGGGAAAAAAGCAGCAGCTGACCAACCCTGGCTTCATTCACACAACCTGCTTACCTAAATATGGATGAACCCTATTTACAGGCTCCACATAGTACACTGAATCATAAAGCAAATGGGCTGAATCCAAACACAAATGCTAAGCCACAGAAAATGAGGCAGAATTAAACCAAATCCAACTCGGAATAAGGAGTAAAAGCCGTTCCTTGCTTTGTGTGTCTTAGGGGGACACAGCCACCAGCTAGCCATATCTGACAAGGGTTTTGTGTCCGGTCTGGGATTCAACTGGAGATCTCCTGCATGGAAAGATCCTGTTCTCCCAGTGGTCTACAACCTCTTCTCTCCCTTGGTGTCTTAAGGAGATGGAGATTGGAAAGTCCTCTTGGAAGCCCTTGCCAAAATCTGTCTTGTTTCCACAAGCTGTAAGCTAAAATGTGGTTTGTTTGTGGCTTAGCATATTAAATAAACCCAGTCATTGAGAAGTTGGGTGGACAGAAGGCAAGGAATCTTTCTTCTGTCAGGAACTATGTTAGTGACATACCCTGGAGGATTCCTTCCCACCACCCTCCCTCAGAGCTGCTTACAGATTAAATATATCTTGATGGATTTTAACAAAAAAGTAAAGACACTATCCAAGAGAAAGAACAATGGAGAGAAAGAGAGGGAGGAAATGAATTCAGACACTAAGTCTAATACTTTATGCTTCCAAAATAGCCAGCTGTGATGGTTGGTGTGTTGGCACGAGTGGCCAGCTGGTTACCATTAGGTTCTGGGATTCGAAGACAGATGGACCCTTTGAAGCCAGCTAGCTGCTGGTAGTACCTCCCCACATCTTCAGGTTGATGCCAAGGTTCAAAATGTTTAGGTTCTCTTGCCACTTTTTATACGTTTTCAGAATGTGAGGAGTATAAATAGCACAAGATCTGGAGATGGTTTGGTGGGACTTCTTATCAGTGACTTGGTCACAATTCAGAGAGTTGTCTGTCTGCCAAAAGTATCCCAAGCATGTCATCTTTAGCATGTCACTGCTGATCCTCCCCTCTGCAGGTTTTGGACTAGGAAGTATTTGTCATTCTCTTTATCTTAAGTGTTACAAGTTGTAATACAATAGATTTAAAGGTGAAAGCGATTATACAGTAATATGATACAATCTGTGAAGTTTTCTAAGTAACTCTTTCTAAGCACGAGTATGGAGGAATCTATCTCATACATGTAAAGGGAGAAAAAGTGATCCCCAACACTGCATCTCCTCCCCATTTTGTCTGTGGTGACACCATAGATGGTCCTGTCTATGAGAAGGGAGGCCCCATTATGAATGATCGTTCAAGTAACCTCAACTTCCTGGTGCTAAAGTAAAAGTAAAGATTTCCTTGAATAGGCATGACTCCTGTTGACATCAACACATTTAAGTAATTTTCATGGTAGTAGCACAGAAGTGGGTGCACAGTCTTTTCCCAGAATTTCTTAGTCCCTATCTAACCTACAGACCTAGCATTTCTTCATTGTCTCCTATCTAGGTCCTAATCCAGCCCAACCTTGTTCAGTTTGGAGGGGAGAATCCACTTCTTAGGGTGGCAAGCTGGCTTTCAGTATTAAATGTCCAAGGCAAGTGTTGGAGAGCCTTCTGATGGAGCAGCTTAAATATACCTACCATAGAGCTGATTCTGACCAACACATCCTCCAAATACTTTGGACACAGAGGAGTTTTGGCCCCTAAATGAAGATACGTAGGGCATTTGTCAGGAAATGTTTGCTGTGGTAGCATTTGGTACTAGGAATTGTTCGATTTCACAAGCTTCTTCTTCATCGGCTTGCGAAGCTTCTACAGGGAACATTGGAGCAGATTGTACAAATCACTTTCTTGGCTCCAAGTTCAGCCTCAAATTAACAGTGAATAGTTTCTGACAAGTTTATCTTACTAATGTAGCGGTGATACCTGGTCTAGCAAATGATTTAATTATTTCTCCTCTGGCAGGGCGAGTTTGCTGCCAGAAGCCATGCGCAATTTTCAATGTCAGCTCTTTTCAATGGCCTTTCACGATTTCAACACCGAATGCATTTTTTCAAATCCCAGTTCGGGCATAAAACAAGCAAAACAATGATCGAGGCTGTAAAAGGCAGCTTCTTATAGACATATAGGCAATGGAGAATAAAAGCAAATTGGGTTTCATCCTGGGCTTAGCACTCCAGTGGAACCAGTATCAACAGGGTGTGGTTGATGGGCCAGGTTTCCTCTGGTTCAATATTTGTTGATTTTATAAATGTAGGTCTGATTTGGATATTGTGTCCATACTTCACATGTGGCACAGAGGAGGAGGAACCTTTGGTTGGTTGGGAACCATGCGTAGGCTTGTGAGTGTCTGGAAGAACTGATGCTGGCTGCTCTATGCGTCCATGAAAATTACATGGTGAAGTCATTGAGCATGGAGGTCAACCCCAAAGAGTCTGATTTTTTCCCCTCCTTCTTTACAAAAGCTGCATTTTTATTATATTTCTGTTTTCAGTAGGGAGGGATTCAAGTTTTTCTTTGGGGTTTGTGATGTTGTGTTCACGCTTGCAGGAAAATGTCTGGGTGCTTTCTGTTTCAAAACCACAGAAAATCATGCCACGATTCTTTTAGCAGTCGTGGTTGGCAGGACCATTTGGGGCTATCAAGGACAAACAAAGCAAAACAAAAATTACAGCCTGCATATAATATTGTATTATTGGGATTAAAGGCTGCTCCCTCACGGTCCTACATAGATGATATTAGAGATGATTGGGGTAGGAGGGTAGAATTCGGTTTCCACTCTCGAAATCACCAAGACTGGGGAAAACCTACCATTTTTAGAGAGAAGGGTACTGACATGTTGCAAATGATGATGAATGCAGCACTGAAAGTGGGGAATGGAGCCAGGAGAAGTGGGCAGGACCAGAGCAAAAAATGGCCAGGCTTGGTTGAACAAACTTGCGTTGAATTCAAATGAAGTGGTTTCTTTTGCTCCCATTAAATTAGGATGCTGTATGGTCAGGAAGTTGGACTCTGAGAAATGCCTGCCCTATTTTGGCCGAATTCGGGGGTGATCGCTGAGAGGGAATTAGGGATCACAAGGTCACTGGGGTGCAGACCCAGGCAGCCCACCATCGGCAATAAATTGTGCTGAGCTAAATGGAAAAACAGGCTGATTGGATTTGTGTCTATTTCCTGCAGCTTTTGCTCGAAACGCACGTCAGATAAAAGAGACCAGATGCTTCCGACATTGATTAGTCATAAAAATCAGAGTAGGAAGTATCTGTTGAGTCCAACTCTCCTTGTGGTCAAAGTGCACTAATCCAAATTAACCCAGCCCTTCTCAACCCCTCGCTTGAACCCGTCTCAAGAAAGGAAAGTACTGGACGAACTCCTCCCCTATCAAAGTGCTTTTCCTGTAGGCAGTGTCAAGCTGAATCTGCCCTCCGTTATTCCATGTCTTGGGTTCTTGAATAATTGAAATAATTTTTCAACCTTCGGCGTGTCGTTCTTTCAGGAATTTAGAAGGCTATCCAATTCCCTAATGAGCGTTGCCCTTTTCTGCACCT